AATTAAAGTAATAAATCAAAGACAAAAATTAAAATTAATCTTAAAAGCTAGCTAATACTTATGAATAATAATTGTAATTAGAACATGAGCATTTTGAACTAAATTAGAAATTGTATTGTAAATTCAGACTGTGACAATTAAAACAATTATTTGTTTCATTCTGACAAAATTCGTTTTCAATTAACTCATTCGACTTAAAGTCACAGTATGTGTTTTAAGAAATGTTTCGGATTGCTTGTATCGCAACAGAGCCTCCGTTTAGCAACTGCACACGCAATAAGCATCTGTCAATTGCCAGGACGTGTCAATTGCTGGGCGCATCTATATTAAGCGCTCGCGCAGGAGTTCCGAACGTTCACTTTCTACAGTTTTAATTGTTATGTACAAACAGTACGCTGTTGCCAGCTCATGCAATTTTACGTGCGCGAATGCTGTTCATCATTTACATCAATCATGGAACTGTATTTTAATACTGTTCCTACATTACAGCGTTATTAGTAACATGTCATGTTCCAGCGATGTATAGCATAACTATTACAAGAATTATAATAGTGTATGCCCATTGAGCTGCAGTTAGTGCTATTTCGTAACCTAGAAGCCGATACCTATTTGCAGTCGTCACATTTAACACCTATTCACTAATCATTTGCCATTCATTATGACTGGGTTAAAACGCAGCACAATCGAACTTAAAATGCACTTGAGCTCGCTCTAAATGTCATCTGACGATCGATTTTGGTTGTCGCTAGCTTAAGTGAGGAAGGAAGTAAAATTTCGCTTCCTTATCAAGTTCCGCACATCGTTGCGTGTACTTTATATTATGTAGAGTCAATACACGCTATGGCTTTACACTATAAGCTATAAGCAACAGATTTCGATGAATCACTTACGGTTACAAAAGAATGCTGTTGATCTAACACGACTGATCTACTTGTGTACAACAACTGAATTACTTGACTGCTGAAATTTTCGTAATTTGAATGCAAGTGCAATGTTGATTTTAAAGCGCAGGAGCGTGGTGTTGCGAGTCCGAGTTTGTTTGCGTGCACGCACAAGACACGAGGCTTTTTACATCATGTCTTTAGCATTCATGCGGCAAGTCTCGTGTTTGAGTATTTATAATACTTTCTGGTTCTCTACGTAAGGAGTCAAAACTTCTTAAAGGTATTTACAAACTGCTAGTTATGTGCTCAGTGTATCGACTGTTACGTCCTAGCGCGTGCCGAATAATTTGCTAATGCTAAAATATACATCGATACTAAAACATATTAGACCTTGTTCCTATCAGGAACTAGAAACCGTTTGGTAGTTAATTACAGATACATATTTACTCGGCGGTTAATGAAACTTGTGTTGGTTCAATAGGTACTGGGACTTAGCAGTTTGTTTTGTACTCAGTTTTATGTGTTTGCTATGAATATTTAAGTTTCCTTAGTATTTCGTCTGACGCACAAGGTTTGTCCAGGGTATTTTAAAGGAAAATAATTGTATAAGAAAATTTAATTCTGAAAATGGTCAGTTTAATAATAATATGCAAAACTCTTTCTATAATAGGCATGGGAATAATTTATTAAGTCGATTAATTTGAGTTGATTGTATTCATGGTGTGACCAGTTGAAGGGAATAAAACAAGTGCGCGAGTGAATTTATTGCGAGCGATTTATGTAGCTATTAATTCATTGTGAGTGAAAAACTTATTAGTATTCCCTATGGAGGCGTCTGAAGAGTAGCTCAGGTGACGTGCGTGAAATCGGTTGGAAGTAATTATTATTCAGCGTGGTCGAGACGTCACAATGAATTAAGGATGTTGCCAAAATGCTTCGGGAGCCTTGCATTGGTTACATACTTTCAGTATCATTAGTACTTCAAGAATATTAATAGCTTGCTTATTTTATATACATTGAAGTGCTATAATTATGGCTTGCCTGATAAAAATACCAATTATAGTAACTGCGTTAAAATATGTCAATTGTATTTTCAGTGTTGTTAACAATAGCCCAAGGTAACAAGTAGAGCTTTGCAGCCAATTTGTCTAACGTTTCAGTGTGGTCGTTGATTTAGGCCACTTAAGCCTAGTGATTTTATTACACGTTACTTTTCACCTACTAAGTTAATCGAGGCTACAGTCACCCATTGTGGTACGATTTCCAATTTACTGTAATAACTGTTTCATTAGTACGGGCAAACTGGAACATTAATTAGTCATGGTTGTTTACTGGATGTTTTCGTGGCGTGCAAAAAGGTCGCATTTCGGATAATCATCATTAACAATAACGAGTGCAAATGGTTTGTAGATTAGAATAGCTATTTTCACATTAAAAACTTGTTTTTGCATTGCAGTCAGATAAAAAGTATTTTTTATCTATTTATTAGCTCAGTTACTAGGAATTGACTCAATTTAATTTCTCTTATTTCCAGGGCTACTTTGTAGTTAATTGGGCTAACACAATATCAGTCGTGCACGCTAACAAACAATACGTCATTCATTATTTTTAAACGTATGTTGTTTACGAGCAATCGAATATAGTAAAAAAACAATTTTTAACAGCGATGCTTTGAACTCGTAAGTGCATACATTTTTTAGAAAAAATAATGACAATAAACAATGAAGAGGCTTCCGTGTATTTTCATAACTTCCCACGATCCTAGATTTTATGTAGAGTTAAATAATAAGTAAAATAATATTAGTACTTTTTTTAATTGATACACTTACGCGTGAATGACCTAATAACGCTTCCGTTTTTTTTGTGTACGGAACCCTGAAAAAGGTATCCCCTTATGGCACACTACGTGCAACTGCGAATGCATACGTGTGTGGTTTTGCAACGGCTGGCCCATCGGGTGCGGACTGCACTCAGTTGCATAAAATGTTGCGACACACGAATCGCGGTCACTGCCGCGCTGCATAGTTAAGGGCACCGCACCCTTCCACTATCGAATGCAGGCTCTAGGCTCTGAGCTATTAATTGATACTAGGGTTGCCTTAAAACAAGTATTTGGTCTTAAAAAACGTCAGAAGATCCGGCTGGAGCTCAATATTTGGTCTTAAAAACAGCAGAAGTTCCGGCTGCAGCTCAACGCATATTATAAACGAATTATAAATTAATTTATCATGCAATTCTTCTATTCATGTTCTAAAATTAGTGTCTGTCTGGAGGTTACTCTTTAGACAGTTGCAACTTATACATGTGTTTAGAGTCGAATCTAATAATGTTAATAGAGGCATTAGGTAACTTGGTCTTCAGACTGCATTCTATTTCTGATAGCTTGCAAAAAGTTGATTGTCCTTCATATTAGTGCATTCCCGTCATTGTATAATTTGCTGTACGATGTGAGTAAATAGTGCATTATACTATGTTTAAATATGTACATCCGTCCATCGTTGATTTTTAACTTTGAGCGTCAACCCTAATTGGACCACTTTTGCTTTTGGTTTAAAAGCTGTAGTCAACGGCCTTCCGAGGACGTCGTGACGAATACTTTGAGAATGTAACAAGCTTGTTTTTGAATCGGTACTGTTAGTTTACCAGTGAAGGATTCGCCAAGTTATTGACGCGTGGTGAAGATCAACCATTGTGTTTTGACGGAAACACAAAATTGACAGCGGTTCGTTTGATATAGAGTCGTAGGTGTATCTCCTTCCTCAAAATTAAAAAGCTGTGATAATGCTTTAACTTTTGTTTTGTTAACTCAACGGGATGCTTCAGTGCAATATCTACCTGCTTGATTGATTGACAATTGATATGTCCTCTTTTTTGGATTTAAGTAAAGTCGACATTATAATTTAAGGGTAATCATAGCCTTGTAATTCAAGTATTTACAGCAAAAGAGCACCAGTGGTTGAGCATTTTCTTTCAGTTAATCAGCAAGTCGATCAATCACACATTACATTGCATAACTTCTTGTACAGTTAAATTGTCAAGTGTTTTAGTAATGAAGCCTGTTTTGTGGACCATAAAAACTAGTTAATGACATACGAGTATATGGAAACTTTCATTCATGAATTCTTCAATACCTTTTTTACGTCTCATTTTCACAATATTCGAGACCACCATGAAACAATTGGGTTTCCTGTTATTGAACATTTTATCTAATGGATTTCTATTATATTACTTATTGTATTTTCTATTTCATTATTCTACAATGTAATATTATTCTGTTATAATTATAAAATGTCTTATCTTTACTTTGTGTTAAGAGTGCAGTGATTGTCGTATTTGCCTCGATCGGGTGAACGTAATGCCAACTTCTTTTTTGTTGTCCTGTCAAGTGAATAAAGAATTCGATGATTATTAAATAGAGCAGAACTTATCTTGTCTGTAGGTTTCCTAAAATAATCAGGATGGAATAATATTAGTTAACTTCTAGGTAGGTTATAGTTTACAATAACTTGTTTTCGATCAGGGGAACTGTTTGAAATCTCTACTACCAAAAATTGTCCGGAAACTTGGATAATTTCAGAAAACTGAATCACTTTATCTTCGTGCGTTTGACAATTCGCTTGATATGTTTTTATTTATTCGGAGATGTGTTTTGAAGAGCCAATCAGATTTCCTTATTTCCACTTCTCATCTCCGCTCCACAAAGCTCCGCTCCGCGCTGCGCCGCCGCTGCTGTCAAATTCTATAGAAAAACTAGCGGATCCCGTTTTATCCCCTTTAAATTTTTCCTGAATTTTCTTTGCTATAAACCTCACGGAGCCCGAGACCTTTCCAACGAATGCAAAACCGTGGAAATCGGTTCGTGCGTTCTGGAGTTATAGCGTCAGGAAGGAAAACCCGACTTATTTTTATATAGTAGATTCTTCCGCCCAACACTTCTCCGCTCCACTCCTCCTTGATGGAAACCGAGCCTAATATAGTTATTTAATTTTTAGCGTTAGGAGTTGCATCTCAAACTGATAATAAGCGAAAGGTCGTTCAATTCCCGCCTTAGGCAGGTCGATTTTTTCAAGTTATTTATAATTGTCACACGAGCCTGAAATCTTTGTTTATTTTCAGAGGGTAACAACATGCGGGCCCGCCTGTGGCTCCGGCGGCGCGAGCGCAGCCACCTCGTCGGTCGGCGTTGCGCGCCGCCTCGCCTCCAGCCTACAGAGCACAAGCACCGGCTCCCTCCCAGACTACGGCACACAAATCGTCGACCCCTACCGCTTGCTTGAAGACGACCTCAATGGCATATACGAAGACATACGAGCGGTAAGTGTGGCTACGATATTACAGTAAAAAGGACATTGGGTTAGAAAAGTGTGTCCCACAAAAGTACTGATTACAAGAAAGTATTGATTAACTTTGAGCGCTAAGCATGCGTTGACAAACTTTCAGCTTTGATATTTTAACGAAGGTCTTGGGTTTATAACTCTAGGCTCTTGCTCTATACCAACATCTAACGTTATTTATTGATTCTATAATGTAGAGTTATAAATGTCTTACTCCAAATTGCGAGCGAAACAAAGCTGCCGGTGCAAAGTCCAATTTTAATGTCTACATGTCCTTCCTTATAAGTTTGACTTTGGACCTGTAAAACTTTGGCCGCCAAGTGTAGGCCTGAGGCCGTAAACATTCGCACGTTAAGATGATCACCAAGCCAGTTTTGGCATTGTTCAACACAACACAACAATGGCACTAGACGTAACCTTGACCTTTCGAATAAACATGCATCTATTGAATATGATTTGGCGTTATGATGGACACTGATCCCGCCTCTGACATGTGACCTGGCATCACAAAGTACACTTAAGAGATATACTCGTACTACAGGCAAAATTCATTTATTAAAATTAAATCATAACATTTGAATAAACGTTTGCATCTGACATTAGCTGGGCGTGACGCTTAATGTCTAAATGAACGGTGTTTTGTGTGGCACGTATGTGTAAATAGTGCAATGAGGAGCGGTCACTTCTGTTACCGTTATCATGTATTTACATTAATTAGATTATTATTAGCATCCATTAAATCTTGGTCACATGTAGATGAGATTATGAAATATTTGCACTGGTTACATGTTTTAAAACAGCCATTCCTTTTTACCCGACAGCGCCAGAAGGAGGGTTATTATTTATCTTATTGTCATAGTTTTTTTTTCATTTTTCATTTTCAGTGCTATAGTTAAACTACAGTGGAACTAAACAATTAACTTAATTATGTAGTAATTCTAACGTAATAGCATGTAAAAAACGTTAGTTCTTAATATTTAAATCATTTTGGTCTTGATTAATTCACAAATACTATTTTTAGCTCATTTATAGGCAGCACCTTATAGATACGACTTCCTTCAAGGCCGTAGCGCTTATGCAAAATAGGTAGCCCAAATACTTTGAGTTAAGCTTTTAAAATAAACGTAAGTTAAGTGTGACCTTAAACTCACAATAGATATTTTGTGCGTCTCAAAAGAATGGTGTGAATTTAATCAAACGCTTCTATATTCTGTTTATACATAGTACATAATTTGTAATTTGTTTGTCCTTACACAAATAGAGTACGCCATTGAAAATGTAATTCTACGGGGCCTTAAAATAAGTGCGTGCTGGTAGTTATTTTACAAACGAGACAGGTTAGTTATTGGCTTGATATTGGTTATTATTTTGATGAAAGGGTACGTAGTAGGAATGCTCGTAGTCGTGCCCATTGATCGGAAGTGTGTCAAAGTCATGACGTGCCCGCACGCGGGCGTGCGTTACACAACGCCTGCGCATCACCGGTAATTGCCTTACGANCCAGACACCAAATCAGCGCCAAATCATGGCGCAGCTGAGGGAAGACCTAAAACAACGTACTGTAAAAGGAGAAACTGACCTAATTATAAAATACATCAAAGGACACCCCAAGATCATTAAAAAGCCGTCAAAAAACTACACAGAGGAGAAAACGCAACTTTAAACACAGGTCCTCAGAAATATGTGAGTCACAAAATATGCATAAATTATAATTCAGTAACAATTGAGAAGAAATGTCTAAAATTTTTCTATGCTAATGTAAGAAGTTTAGTCAAACCTGGAAAACTAGATGAACTAAGATGCGTGATTGAATCATTTAAGAATATAGTTCACGTTGTTGTCTTGACAGAAACATGGATAAAAAATGATGATGAGGCAAATAGATTGAAGCTGCCAAATTATACACATTATTACAACTATAGGCCAAACTCAAGAGGCGGTGGAGTGTCCATATATGTACATAACAGTATAGAACACCACGAAATCGAACAACAATATGAAGATGGAAATCATTTTCTGTGGGTCCACCTGAATACGCTTGCCTTGGATATAGGAGCTGTATACAAACAACCAGCATCAAATGTGGATGCATTTCTTAAAAACTACAGTCTTCACCTGTCTAAAAGACAACGAATCATAGCTTTTGGTGATTTCAATTTGAACCTGCTCGAACACGATAAATCTGTAAAAGAATACAATGCTCTACTGAAAGATACCAATATGCGCATATTAAACAAAATTTCTAAAGAGTACTGTACCCGCGAAACATCTACCACAAAATCAATCTTAGATCATGTGTGCTCAAATTTGAAGCAAAACACTTTCCAAATGACTGTAATTGAATCTGCACTCTCCGATCATAAGCAGATATATCTGGAGATAAACAGGACATGCCTAGATCGCAAAAAACGTGTACAGTATCCAGCAATAAACTATGCCAACCTCTATAAAACTATGGAAGAATTGCTTAATATACATCAGATTGAAGACTATGAAGAACTGGAAAATCTAATACAGCGAGCTATTTCCATTAACAAAATTATGAAGACCAAAATAACTAACCCACCCTGTAAGGAATGGATAAATAGGGATATAATAGCATCTATAAATGAGAGAAACTCTCTGTGGCAAAACATGAAGAAAACACCTGATGAGCTCGTTAAAGAAGACTTCATAAAAATGAGGAACAACGTCTCCAAGAAGATCCAGACTGCCAAGAACCAATATTTTCGTCACAAATTTGAGATTTGTCAAAAAAACCCGCGAAGAATGTGGCAATTAATCAACAGGTTATCCAGTAGTCAACCCGAAACCATCAAACCCTTTAAATTATCATCCCCATTAGGCGAAATAACAGATACAAAACTTATATGCGAGAAATTTAATTCCTTCTTCGCAACAATTGGCACAGAGTTGGCAAGTAAAATACCACAACAATTTCATACTGATTCGACTCGCGTATCAATTTCACTAACCTCTCAAAACCATGACCATCAACTCCTAAAACTAGACCCAACAAATCCTCAAGAAATATCACGAATAATTAATAACCTAGATGTAAATAGTAGCTCTGGTTTAGACGGAATCACAACAAAAGTTATTAAATGTATCAAAAATATTATAGCTCCCATTATATCAAAATGTATAAATGACTGTTTCAGTTCAGGGCACTTCCCTAACTCTCTAAAGACAGCTAGGGTAACTCCTATTTTTAAATCTGGAAGTAAAATGGAGCCCAGTAACTATCGTCCTATATCCGTGCTCCCGGTAATATCAAAAATTTTCGAAAAACTACTTCATATTAGATTGAGCAAATTCTTGGCCGATATTAATTTTCTATTTAAAAAACAATACGGTTTCCGACCAAAGTCTAATACTGTATCTGCTACTGTTGACCTAGTAACTAGCATAAGACACAGCCTAGACCAAGGGAAAATAACCCTAGGAATCTTCATAGACCTAAAAAAGGCATTTGATACAGTTAGCCACCGTATACTTTTATCAAAACTGAAAGCTTTAGGCATCTCAGGCACAGCGTATCAAATGTTTGAATCATACCTTACGAACAGGAACCAGGTCGTCAAGATCGATAATGAGAAAAGCGAGCCAAGATTGATCACTTGCGGTGTTCCCCAGGGATCAATATTGGGGCCCTTACTATTCCTAATTTACGTAAATAATATACATCAGGTCGGACTCAAAGGAGACATCACCCTGTACGCTGATGATACAAGCCTATTTTATAGCGGTCACTCAATGAAAACAATAATTGATAACGCACAGTACGACCTCAATGTTCTACACAATTGGCTACAATCTAACTTGCTTACAATTAATGCTACAAAAACAAACTACATAATATTCGCCGCTAAAAATAAAAAGATTGATAACTTCAATCCTTTGTCAATTGATGGACAGGAAATTAATAGGGTAGCTAAAGAAAAATACTTGGGCCTCGTGCTAGATGAAAAACTAACATGGGAATCGCACATTGAAAAAATTCGTAGTAAAGTCTCTTCGCTAACTGGTGCAATAAAAAACATAGTTAGATGTCTACCAACATATGTTAGATACACAATCTATAATTCCCTAGTAAAACCCCACCNCAGTGATGTCTGTGTTCAGAAATTCGGTAATAGGATCGTCCGAGTAATTATGTTGCTATCGCGCTCGCACACTCACTGCGGGTGCCAGTCGCACAGTCGCGACAGCAATATAATTACGCGCGAGTGATAAAGATGGGTAGCTAGGGGTCATTGGACAAAATTCTACGTGCTCACGGACCGAGCTTTAGTCAGGAATTAAATGGATGAAAGTGCGTAATGCGTACACTGTTAGTTGCTTTATAAAACTCATGTTATTTTTTAAGAATTAAAGCGTTTTGTGTTGCTCTCCGAACTAAAAAGTCAGAATCCGATCCAATAGATTCTATTGGACATAGCGCGATAAAAATTAGAACCATAGACATTACAACTGGCTCAATTATTTTATTTGGAGTTTGGAATCGTATAAAGGTTTATTTATGATCTATGTGAATAGTGATGTGCACTAGGGATAAACAAAATCTCTCACAATGAGAGCCTATTGTTAAAAATGTTGCCAGTTTATTGGTGCGCACTGTACACACATTGAGTGGCCCACCGGCCTTCGGCGTTGCGTGTACGGGACCCATCGATATCTGTAATGTCATTGTGACCTTAGTAATAGTGACGTAGCATGCTTATCGATAGATATATTCAATGGTATAGTTGACAGACCATCAGATTGTAAAAAATGGCACTTATCACAACGCTATAAGATGCCATAGCTTACCTCTCTTTTCCATCCCGAGGTCACAAACGCTCGTTCGTTCGTTTCAGCCAAATTACGTCCACTGCTGGACAAAGGCCTCTCCCGGTGAAAATGAACGGTGCTGTGCTGCCACCATCCAGGTTTTACCGCGACTTTTACCAGATCGTCGGTCCACCTAGTTGGAGGCCTGCCCACGCTACGTCTTCCAGCCTGCGGTCACCACTCGAGAATTTTTCCGCCCCAACGGCCATCGCCTCTACGAGCTATGTGCCCGGCCCAAACGCTCACTATTAGCAAAAAACACTAATTATCTACTAAGATAGTGTTTGTAAGTTGTATTATTGTTTCGGTGAGTCAAATAGACAGAATAGACATTAAATTGAACCTCTCGGCGTTCGATACAAAACAATGTCTGGGATGAGACAATGATATTGAAACAATTGATTACTGCTTAGTGACACGTTTACAATAAGCAACATGACTTTGAGGCGTTCAGTTCATTGTATAATATTATCGATCAACGTATACCTATACAATAGATAAGTGCATGTTATCGATCAAAATATTTTTTTTCATTTTAATTCCTATAGGTACCTTAATACCACCTCTAATGTCATATTTATCG